AACAAAACTCGTTATTCAGAAAAAATCCATTTGTTGAAGACAAAAGTCGGATTAGGAATATGTCAACATTTTGACTTCAATAACAGAAGACAGAATCCCCCGGGGAAGTGCATGTGATCACCACTATGCGTGCGCTCACAGACCAGCTCAATCGCCGAGGTGACTCACAAATGAGAGGGCGCAGGGGAAGGAAAGTGACACGTTCTCCTTTGTCGCCGGGGAACGTCACGAAGATGCTCAACGAGTTTGCGAGAAGATGACAATGCTGACAAACCGCAGAGAACAGAGCAACAACTCGGTATCCTTTACAAGATGACTCTGAGACGTTATGAGAATGTAAACAGAGACTAACTGGCTACATGACTAACGACACGTTGAGGCCTTCAATTAGATAATTTCGTTTTTTCTTTACCCTGCAACCTTTGGGTCCAATAGATTCAATAGACTGTATTAGTCTGCTGCTTTATCTCACACTATTGACCTGACGACATAACAGGTCACAACAAAAGCTTTCAATAGAAGAAAGGCATCGACTTTTCACGGAAAAATAGCACAAAGAAAGAATAGTTGTAATCAATGACCGCACTGTAAAAAAAATCTATTTTACAATGTTTTTCCTTTTTATTTTAGTTTTTTTCTGCGTGTGAAATACACAAAGATATCAATAAAATTACATAAACAGCCACTTCCTACAGGCCTAATGTAAAATAACGTTATTAAACAGTGACTGTAAAAAGAAACAAAACACAACATTTCCAGAAAATGTACAATTTGACATAAACAGACTTCCTATTTTACAATTATTTGTATCGATGAAACAGTTAACATCAACTTTAATATTGTAAACATATTTTTAAAACTAAATACAATTAGTGACAATTAACAGTAAAGGTGGAATTGGTTTCTTTTATTCCACATATTGTTGGTAAATTAGCTATATCTTGTATAATCACAGAAGTTTTCACACCACACGTTAAATTACACGTGTTTTCATCAGTGTGTAATATCTATGAGCAGTGGCAATCTGTTAAAATGCAGTTTTGACCACTATTTTATTTTAATATAAACACCTTTACACATGTAAATATCCTCAAATAAACATGAAAAAGTGCGAAAATACATATCTAATGTAAAATTAAGGCTAAAAATGTATTTCAATGATGTAAAATACTGTGTTTTCATGAGATGGTTATTTTTCATTACTTTACAGAATTCTTAGGATTGTTAACTGCAAGACGATTACAGTTACACAACTGAGTAAAAATTATTTACGATCATGACTTTGGCTTCCTACATTTAAATGAACCTAATTAGCTGAAATATTAATGTTTAGAACACGCGCTCTGCTCACAGGAAAGTCTACAATGCCAAAAAAGTGCATGTAGATAAAACCTTGGTCTCAACTTGGATAAATCCTACATTAGAATGCCTTATGTTAATCTTTTCAAAGTTACTTTTGGACAAAGATATTGTAAATGAGGAGACCAGAGGCTTCTCTGTGTACAGCCACCGAGCTAGCATCTATCATAGCCTGTATGTGAGGCATTTAGGGAGCGACGGTAAATTGCAGAGTGTATCGATAAGCAGATGTTCTGTAAGTTAAATTTTTCCTCAAGGATAAGAATTAAATCCAGGTAAACAAGAACCTTATTTTGATGCTAAAATTAGCAGGAATGTAGCACAACAAGGAAGTGAAAACGATTATCTGTTTATGTAAATGTGAAAGTGCAATAACAACATGTTGTCCCTAAAAATGAGTGAATATTCTCAACATTGATCAAACTTTGGCCATAATTGCGCAGTCTAAGTTGGAGTACGGTGTGAATGACCACACACATAAAGTGCAGATACCCCTGGGGGGCGGTTTTAGTCTTGTTGAATCCATAACCTCATCTTCCAGACAGCTCTCGCCCTAAGCAGAGCAGCCACAGGTCACAGTAAGCCTGTTAACCAGAGTACTACCAGGAACACCAGCTTAGTGGGTGACGTAACATTACAGCAGGGAGGGATGATCGCGCTAACTCACTGTTCTGTGGAATCGATCAAAAATATCACTGTGCGCGCTTTCCTAAAACCTGTTATGAAGAGCAATCATCGCTAAATGTCAGTGGTCGGGGGGGAATTGCTTTAATGAGCACCATGATGCGCGCTTGTGTTTGCTCAGTGTACGTAACAGGTGAATCATTCACCTCAAGTAAGGCGTCAGTACAGGCAATTAGGCAGGTGATCCGACAGCTCCTGTGTGCAATTAGAAAAACGCCTGCCACAATAGCCACAAACAGGGATAATGGCAGCTACGAGGCTGAGCTTTGTTCCTAGTTTCCTTCTTTTCCCAGCTGGAATCCTCACCGTGGACTTCCCAGACGCTCGAGATATTCGAGACACAATCAAACTCATCACAGACTGAAAAAAAGCCTACATCTGGGCTCACCTACAACAGAGAGCTGGCCTTCTAATCCCCTCGTGTAGCGACATGATAAAGGCAAGGATTAAAATGCGAGTCAGTCATCCAGTCAGTCAGTCAGTCAGTCAACACTGCTGCCTGCCTACTTGCATCATCAGCCCCACTGCTCCGCTTAGCCTCTCCTGCACTGGGCATGCACAACTCAGCAGATGCTCAAGGCCTGGCCGTGGTCGTATATATCTATAATGCAGAGCGCCATAAGATCCACTATGCCTCTTCATCTATAAATAGACTGCTGCCAACCTTCGGTCCCAGTGGATATACACGTATACCGAAGTGATCAGACGGACGCATTCACAACAGTGTAGTTAAATTTACATAATGGACAGATTTCTGCCTTCCATGCATTTTGAGTGACTGTTATCCACTACTTGAGCTTACAGGACATTATTTGAATAAAAAAAAAAAGCACTGACCCCTGAAAATTCACAGATGCCTGCTCTTTACATTATCAGGATCTCTTTGGAATGAAACGGATTAAACAAGCTTTTGTTGACAAAGAGTATCCAGCACATCACTCTAATCATTAATTTAAAAGCACAGATGAAGATACATGTGTGTTATAATGGTCACTATAATGATTAGATATTACCAGAATGACTGCACTGGGATTTAAATTAATATATATGAGACAGGCTGCCACTTCGGGTAACAATAAAAATCTACTTGGAAACTACATTTTATGCTTTCTCAGTGACTCGCCGCCTATAAACAATACTAAACTTGCGATGATCATTTTGCAAAAATAAAATTAAAACACAGCATGAACTCTCTGTACCATGGTCCTCAATGCAAACGTGGTCTCCTCAATGATCCAGATGTGGCTGTTGCTCTTCGGTAGCTCCGATTTCAGGATGCCCCCCAAATATTCTTCACCCTGTGATCCCAATGCTTCTGATCGCTGGTTGATGTCCTTACGCTCACTCTGAGGTACGTGAAGCCATCTGCTGTGTGCACAATCCATTCCCTGAGTGTAAAACCCAGTCTAAAGGGTACTGTAGCTGGGTTTCCTTTAGGGGTTGTCTAACACGACCAGCTTTGGGAGTGGACGGCGAGAGTCTATCCCGTCCGACTTGTTTTATCCTTTGGTCTCACCCTATTCTGATGCTTCTGATGCTTTCTAAGGCGGGCAGTCACCTAGTCTTTTGGGTTTCCATCCCAGCGGTTTGTAGTGACAACACACTCAACTAGTTGTTTTTGCTTTAATGTAACAGGCGGAGCACAAACTGACCAACACACAAGCTTTAATCCCCCCCAAACGCAAAACCAAAAATTTCCAGCACCATTTACTAAATCTGGCCGCCACTGACACACTGCGCTAAAGTGATCCTAAGCTATATATTAATGTCAGCTATTGGTAATATCTCATAAAGCTGGCAGCTTCTTTTAATAGGCTCCTTATCAAAAACCGCTCTATCCATGAACGTTGCCCTTCTTCCGCTCCAATCAAGACCTCACAAGACACCGAAAGATAAGATGCATTTAGGACACAGCTAGAAGAGAAGGTTTGGGATCCTTACTTGCCAAGAAAACGGCACGCTAAGTCAGCCCGACCTCTAAATTAATCCACAAGGGCAGGAACTCCCTTCACTGAGGTATCAATTCTAGGTGTTCTGCAGGCTAAATCAGGCCTGTGGAAAGTAGGTGACAGGAGCACCCCGGGGTCACGGATTAGTAACTACTGTTGTGTCTAAGTTAGATCACACACCTTGGCTTAAATCTGACTAAACCTATAATGGCTTGTAAGCAGGGAACTGTGTTTTTTTTATTTATTACACTGACATGAGGTCAAGCAATGGTTCATATCAAGGTAAAGAGGCAGGATTTCTACTTTACTGTGCCAAAATACAACAATAAAAAATGTATTTAAGCTCTTGCTGGGAACAAGCATACATCTGCTAGCACCATGCTGCAACAGGGAACCACGTGTTTTGAAACTGGAAGTCACTGAATTGTCAGTTATTCTTACAAAAAAAAAAAAGATTAGCAAACTAGCTAAGACAGCAGCTGAAGCTTTCATGAAAACGACTGGCTGCACTTGTGTTGTCAAAGTCTGTGTTTTGTGTGTGTGTTACTTAGTTGATAATTCCAGGTCAGCAATCCACAAACCAGCAATAATAAGCTGTGTGTTTAAAAAAAAGAAAAAAAAGAGGGGGCTAAAAGCAAAGTCCTTCCCCTCTTAAACACACAATCTCAGCAAAACTTAAGAAGCAGTTAGGGGACTGTTACCCACCTCCTGAGTTCACGTCTTAAAGATTTAACTAAATGTCAGCCCAAATGAAAAGGGTACACTTATTCTAAAAGGTGTCTGGTGCTTATTACACCCTCCACCGGGTTATTAGCAACCGAAGACCGTGATTAAAAGCCTCAACTGGCACCGCTGATTCAGCTTTGGGACCAGCTAGCCTGTTAGCATCGTCGTCACCACACAATGCCAGCTCTCCCAGCGAGCTCTCGTTGCGGCGAGGTCCTCTCAGCGGAGCTCCGGCAGCTGCTGCGGCTGCGGCAGAAAAAAAAAACCGCTTGCCTCACTCACCTTTTTCATCCGCGGAGCCTCGGCCACGGTTCCGTCGCGGTTGACGAAAGCCTCCCCGCCGTTCTGCTGCGGGTCCGTGCGCTTCATAGCCGACGCCTGGGGCATCTTCGCGGGGTTCGGGGTGAGCAAGCCCAGGCTGCCTTCACCGGCTTTCGCGGAGGGCTCCGCGGCAGGGGACGTAGCGGCAGAGGAACCGGCCTCGTGCGGGTCGTTTCTGGCGAGGTTCTTGCCCTCCGACGTGGGTGTCACCGGGGATTCAGCCGCCAGGTCTTTGCCGGTGGGGACGTCTTTGAGTTCGACCTCTGCCATTTTCGCTGCCACAACCTGGACTGACATCGCTGCAGTTTCTCAAAGTCCTTTTTCCAGCACAGATAGAGAGTGGAGCGGATGTGAGCGGAGGAGCAACGGCGGCGAAATGCATTCTGGTCCCTGTAGTTCCACTGAGTAGCTCAAACACTCCCCCCTTTAAGACACCTCTCCCATTAGGCATGTCCACGCCACTAAAATGCTTGCACACCTTACTCACCATAAGAAAACCCAATAAAACCATAAACACACTATATAATATTCAGCTAAATGGCAGCATTAATTAACACTTTGACTACATTTCCCAGCAGACAAAGCCGCGCAGTTGTGGTAAATGTAGTTTGTATTAAAAGAGGACGACAGTAAACTACAAAACAAACGCGATGTTGGCCACATAATCACACTTAACATTTATACACCGTCTCTGAAAACCAAACGTTGGGATTTTCAGTTTTATATCAATGATTTCCCTTCTCATAGGCACACAAAATAAAAAGTAGGGTGCAAAAAATAACAAAAATCCCTTGCAATTTTCTCCATACGATAAAAGGCATGTTTTGTCCTTTGCATATGTTGAGACCAAATTATTGAATTTGTCAATCAGTATTGTTCTCCAGCCACAAGATTTTGCATCACATTACAGTGGATATCTGCATCATATGAGAAAATGGGTACAGGAGTAAGGTCAAATAATATTAAATGAACTACATTGCCACCAGGTGGATGTATGAGGTAGTTAAAAAACACAATGCACATCAGGCAGAGGGAAATGATCAAACTTCTGCAGTTCTCTTTTTAATATCTCAATTTAATTTTCACATCTCATAACTTCTGTAAAATGCATCATTGAAAACGAGCACACATGTCAAATGTAACCAACGGCAGACACAGGAAGTCAGGATGAATGGCATTCAGTGCTTCTTAGTAAAAAACAGCATGTTTACAAAAAAAAAAAGAATGACATTGGTGACTCAAAGGCTTTTCCTTTTTTCTCCAAATCGCACATCACCTGTCATATCATCACTATTGTACATGTGTGACATTACAGCCTCATAAACAGGTACAATTAGCAACTACAGAATACTTTAATACCATATTTCAGCACTGCAGCAATTTGCACAGGTCTGTTTTTTAATTCAAGCACATGCCAGGAGCATCGCTATTACTGGAAAGATTTATTACTACAAAAGAACAGGGAAGAAGTCGCAACAAGCTAGTAGCAAAAGGTTGCTGATGCCAAAACAAAACACATGGTTAAGTCCTCACACACACTGTATTTACATTCAAGCTAATGGGTTCAGAGCCCTTTCGCCATCCGCCAGACAAATCTGAGGTATATTATTTACAAGGCTGCCATGCTGGTACATTCTCAAAAATATAAAAATCAGAAAATCAAATCGTGTTTAAAAAATACAGCTCTTTGTTGCGTCGTAAGCCCTCTGTGGTGTAAAAGAAACGAGTTCCTAAAAGGTGAATAATAATGCAGCAGGTTGCCAATTTGTACAGTAAAATTGAGAACATGCCCAAATACACGCATTTATTATCACTTCAAGGTGAAGTGCTGTTTTCCATGTGCACCTAAAAAAAGCAGTCTTTAGGTTGATATGATGTTCCAACCAGCATAGCCTTGCAGCATTGCGGGGTGGAAAAAAAATCCACTTGCACCTGCTCGTTTCCTGTAAAAGGCCGTGCATCAGTCTTCGAATATCCACAAGATATTCACACCAGAGAGGCCCAGATTTACTCTCCTGAGGGAGGGGGAAAAAAAGCAATTTAATTATTCCCCAAAAGGACAAGCAAGGTCGAGCTAATCATTTTGAATCAATATGCAATCTGGTTTTTTTTTCCGTGTATGACCTTTGTGTTGAAAATGAGTCAATATTTCATGATAATAGCCTCTACTGGCTGTAATCATGTCAGAGATTAGTTTGAACAAGTCACTCTTTTATAGGCTTTTAGCAGCAGAGGTACTCACCCCAGCATCCCTGATTCCTTGGTCTTAATGACATAAAGGAACATGAGGACAGTGTGGAACAGGTTGTTTCTGCCCTGTAATAGCAAAAGAAAATGGGTTCATGTCACAGCAAATAAATTGCTACCAACGAGCAAGACATCAGTGTTAATGAACAAGATGCCTGTTGTGATGTGAGCTCTTCCTCTGGCAGAGTGGTTGTACATGAGGGGACTGCTGACATATATAACAGGGATTTATCCAACTAACAGGGAAATAGTAAATGGGTTTATGAACGAACAATGTGAAGGACAAAAAATATATTATTTTAGTGACTGAAAAGATTACAAAAGCTCATGTATTGTCGAATCTTGTGCGCTCTGTTAAAATTGAGATAAAGTGCAGTACTATATTCACGCATTGATAAAGAAAACATCTGGAATTTTAGAATCCCAAAGGAAATTTTTTTTTGATCTCTTCTTGGATTTAGTGATATCTACAAATAACACGACTAAGATGGTACGAAATAAGAAAACTGTGACACAAGAGTACTCTTTGGGTTTGATTTTAGGACAGCAATGGTATAATAAATGCACAAGCTTTGTTTTAAGAACCACAAAAGTAGAAGTATTTCTTGGGTGTTTTTGCTGTCACCTTGGGAAGACTGTAGATGTGTCCTTGGTATATGAGCTGGTAGTGAGGGGGAGTCGTGCTGCTTTGGTGGATGCAGAAGAGGTTCTCCTTGGTTACATCTACCACAGTCAAAAAAGGGATACAAGAGCTAAAACACCACAAAATCTTCAGTCTTGTATTGCTGTTCTTGACATTTCGTGTGCACTTACCAGGTTTGTCTGGTGTGTGGCTGAAGTGCTGTGAAGTGAAAGTTTTCCCATCTGGGTACTTGGGGTGCGGCGGCAGCCTGGTGTCCAAGTATGTGCAAAACACATGCATGAGGATCTGAGGGGACAGATGAAGACAGTGACCTGACTATGAGGGGGAAATACTATCATTTTTGGTGTTATGCAGAATGATTCCACTGATGAGGAAAGCTACAGAGACAGTAAAAGGCTCAGAGAAGGTTTCATCTGAAGAAACAAACTTGAACAACTGGAGCCTTTTTGATGGCAAAAATTAAACACTTAAGCAAAGGAAATATAGAAATCTACATTTGAACAGGCGCAGTATTACAGTAACAAGTAATGAAATACCATTTAACAATGATTCACCACAAGCAGGGTTAACATGTGGTCTTAATGAACAGCGTCAAAGTCACTATTTCATGTTCATGCCATTGTCTGACAGCAGAAACATTAAAGTATGTAAATGAGAACAGCTTTACGGGGAATTCAACCGCATTAAAATACAGTGTAAGTAAGCACAGAGAGCAGGAGAGAAACAAAAAGACTTTATGTGTCTTCTGTGTGTTTGCTATCTACTTCAATTTGAAGTAGTCGCTTACTTTTCAAGCCTTGGGTCTTTGGAAACTTTTCAACTGAATCAAAGTGCTCAACTGCTGACACCATCGCTCATGACTAATGTTATGATACTGCACTGAAACATCTGTTATAATGAACTGAAGTTATGTCAGTTAAGAATATTGATGTCGACACATTTTTCGCATAAACTTCATCGATGATGCCGATGAAACACAACAGCTGTGACCACAAGCTTCTCATGTCTCTGCGTACACTTGTGGTTGTGTGTGTGTAGACTCACAGCACAGTCAGTAGGGAGGTCAGTATCCCACTTTCTGTTCTTCAGGTCACCACCACCGTTCCATCGAAAGGAGCTCATGCAGCCACTATGAGCCAGCTCTGACGGGACAGAACAAACAAAGCACACAAACAGCTAATCAGATCATTGTTCCAGTTATCTTGTACAACCACAAACAATCAAAATGTAATCAACAAAAGCATGTAAAAACACACATTTTTTTACCCTTTGTTATACACATATACAGGAATTTAAGCTCCAATCAATACCTAAACACAGTACAGGCTGCATTTCTGAACCTACCCTTTATCCGGTCCACTAGATACTCCTGATTGGGTGTGACGTCCAAGTATTGAACGATAGAGTTCAACGTGGGGATTGACGAGGCTTTCATCACTGCTGCCTGCTTCAGACTGCTTATGCTGGCCTCTGGTAGAAGGAAGAAGGAAAACTAGTGTTAAACTAGGTGCCATCATTACACTGAAATCACAATGGTTAGTAAAGAATGAGATTTTTCCAGTGATTTGGAAATGTGTGGCACTTGTGTCTAAACAAACTGTATGCGCACTGTTCTTGTTTTACTAAAGAAAATCTTGAAAAGAACTAGTTTGGTGGTTTAACATGACAATATTTTTAATTACCTTTAAATGCTCATTTAGATATTCAGGATATATAAAACTCATAGTTTTAACAAGTACAGTCACAGTGAATAATAAGATGCTTTACTAAACTGCTGGAATGTTTTAATACGCCACATTTTTATCCGATAGTAATAAAATAATAGGTGTAAGTTGATATGAATATCTAACATTTATTTGAGGAGATGGTGTAATAATGACCTCTGCAGCTGTTTTACCTCCTATCTGGAGCTCTGGGCAGCCCATCCTCCTGAGCTGGCTGTTCACAGAATCTATTTCTTTGACCAACGGGACCAAGATGGTGTCACTGATCCACTGCAAACACATGGAAACATTTCCTGACTAAACTCAAATCTATGTGAACTCTTATGCATGATGTGTAAACTTAATTCAACATAGCCAGTGAATGACATGACCACTCACATTTCTAAGTTTGGCCGTCCAGCTATCGATGCGATCCACGACCGGGCGACTGGTTGTAATTCTGGCCCAAACCTGCATATCAGGATGGGAACAAGAAGGACATTTTCAAAACAACAATCCCCAGTTAGAATACGTATTTCACAAATAGTAGCTCCATCAACAGACTAAAGTGTCATTTTGTCAGCCAAGGACTTAAGTCACCAAACGGCCTTCATTGTGGTAGAACAAACTATCCGATGCTGATGTACAGACCTCCTCTGCAGCCTGTTTGGATCCCAGATCTGTCTCATCCTTGTGGGCAGATGGTGCCTGAGAGCGACATGCAGGCTGGTACAGGAATTTCCTCAGGCTTTGTGCGTAATCTCCTACTGAACGGTTGTAGTTCCAAAATGTTGGACTGTGGCTCGGAGACACAGACTCTGGACTGCCTACAGAGGGAATCAAGTAATTGTGATAGTGGAAAGTTTTTTTCCATAATATGTTAAATAAAGTTACACAGATCAAGATAAAGATTTAATGTTGGGTTTAATATAATATTAACAAAAGAATTCCTACAATCTACAGCACCAACCTAACTGGCTTCGGTGACTCCTCTCCTCCTCTGTGCGCAAGAACCTCTCCAGACTTTTCAGATCCTCCATGTAGTCCTCCTTGCTTCCAGGGGAGTTAAACACCGATGGAGATGTGCGATATCGAGCTCTCAAGCTGGTGCCTTCTGCTGACCCGATGGTGTTCGGATAAGGAGAAGAGCCGGAGGAAGGGCTGTAGTTCAAGACCTACAACAGAGACAACACAATGGACACAAAATGGAGTTATTACAGTGTACATTTATGTTTTTCTCAGTGTTACTGTTGTAAAAACAAAACAAAACATACCTTTCCAAAGGCTACTGAGGGGGAAAAGGGGCCTCCTGCACTGCTCGGGGTGGACGGGTTACTCAGAGGAGGGCTGTAACCTTGCACACAGCTGGGGGAGAATTTGGGGCTGGTTGTGGCCGCCCGAGAAGGACTAAAGCTCAGCACGCTCTGACCCTGCAGTGGAGACGACTGGGCTGGAGCTGGGGTTTCTTTCTTTTCTGGTTTCTGGGGCGGAGAGGCCTGAATACCTGCGAAGGGAAAGACAAAACCTGCCATGACACAGTGGTTCACAATGCACTATTTTACTTGCTACAAAGCATCTTGTATGTAAAAAGGATCGGACAAAAGCTGAGAAATATACAGTTCTCGTATTAGAGCCTTACTTGTGTTTCTCAGACCCAGTAGATGATGCTGCTCGGGGGATACAGCAATAGTGGAGGGAGCCATAGTGTACTTGAAATACTTCCAGAAGTCAAAAAGAGCATTGAGGCTAAAGAGAGAAGCTAGCACCAGTTCTATAAAAGAGGAGAGGAAAAAAAAAGAAGACACTGTAACAAACAACTGGGTGTCACATTAAATTGCACACTTGTATTTATAGCTTTTCCATCACGTCACCATGTTTCTGCAGTCTGAATTAAAATACACCTGAAAACTCCAACTGTTTAACAATGAAATTGTAAAATACCTCAAACAGGCTGAATGAAAACATAACCAAGACAGTGACCCAGTACAATTAGTTTTATTGTCTTTAAATCTGCTGATTATTTTCTCGATTAAATGATTACTTGTTTCGTCTCTAAAATGTCAACAAATGGTAAAACATCTTGATCTGTGTTTCCTAAAGCTCAAGATCACATCCTCAGATGCTTTGCTTCATCTACAACCCCATGATATTCTGTTTACTCTCATAGAGGAGAGACAGAAAACAATTACATTTAAGAATCAGGAATAAAAGAATTCAGACTTTTCTTTAGAAAAAAAAAATCGCTCAGTAATCAAAATACTTTGCGATTAATTTAACAGTTAACAACTAATCAATGAATCCATTAAATATTGCTGCTCTATTACATTACAACTTTTAAGTCGATCTTTTTAATGGCTCACAACAACAGCAAACATCCTTAGAATAAATAACAGTAGTGGAACCTCACCGATGTACCAGATAGGCCAGTAGGTGATGTTGTAGTATCGGCTCAGCAATTTCCCTGACCTGACAGAAAAGCAAAAAAGACACAGAACACATAATTAAACTGTGCACAGGAATCTGAGAGATGAAACATTCAGGGCAGTGTTGCGTATTAACTGGAGATCCTGTTCTCTGTTCATGTAAAATGCATATTCATGGTGATATCCTCTACAGACAACAACAGGAAGCGAGCGGCCTGCTCTACCTTCATACCTCATGTTTAGTCTGTTGGCTGTTTAATGCTCGTTAATGATTTATGTTAACTGATAACAGTCACAACTTAACACAGATGAACGTTCGCTAATAAATAAATGCACCTGTTGTCCACAACACAAATCATGTACACTTGTTTAGAGAAAAACTTACACCTGATAACTTGCTCTTAATCTACTTTGCCCTACATATAATTGTCACAGCAACAGGATCATTTCAGTAATAACAATCAAAACCTATGAATTAGTTCACGCCTCTTTATCAGTCCCTGTGGCTCACCGTGTAGGGCAGAGTTCAGGCATATTTGTCGTCCTTTTGAGAATTACTTTATGTTTATTTAATTCAAGCTGAAGGTTTATATTGTCTAAAAGGAAAGGTTGTGACGCTGAAAACTAAAGTTTTTAGCATAGAGTCATTGTTAAGGTCCCATATTTTGCCCCTTCTCAGCAAATTAATAAACACGACTTTCAATGTTTCAGCTTAAAATACAACAAAGTTGGTTCATTTTACTCTGACTATACGACCTCTGTTGGTGAGGTTGTCTGACAACATTGGAGTCTAAAATCAGCAGCATAGCAGTGTAGAGTGGCATCTTTAAAGAGGATTTTAATGGGCTGTGTTTAGTGAATGTTTTATACTCATTCCATTGGATGACAACAGAAACAGAAAAATGTTTAAACAACAAAAAGCTTAATTGGGAATTCAGCTGCAGTATATGTGAGGAGGAGAGAAGCAAACAGATGTAAACACTGACTGTGTCTAAACGGCACTGAAGCATAGCAGGCGACATTAAAACAGAGCAACCCACCCAGTTCTTGTTTATCGGTCTTAAAGGTCTCTGTATCATCTCTGTAAGTCTCTAAGCTTTACAGTCTCCACAGACCAAATAAACAATAGCTACGCAGGTCATACGACACTCTAACAGTCAGTACTTTGCTATAGTTGTGGTGACATTACTATTAATAACAAAAGCACACCGCTGTATCTTCAGTTCCTCAGATGCTGGGAGTGCATGAAGACTTCTGTGATCACTCTTGCAATGAACAACAGAACATTTGGTGCTGCTCATGGCTGAGACATTTTAGAGTTTGCAGTAGCGGCTCCAGAAAGTTAACAAACCTGGTGGATTGAGCGGCAGCTGCTCATTCTGAACGGTTCACCTCACAAGCAGCCGGCAGCGAGGGCGCAGGATGCAAAGTCTGAGCTGGACGAAGACTGGTTCTAAAGCTGATATGTTTCTTACTGCCTTGTAAAGTTATCTAGTTGTGGGGGGACTTGAGTAAGTAACTTTTGGCTCTGAATATGAGGAATCTGCGACTATAAACATCAGGATTTCCCTCCAGCAGGCTTGAACAGCAAACAAACATCACCAGGCAACATGATCACCACATCAGCTGGAACACCAGTGCTACATTACAATTTTTAGGTCGCTATTCCAGCAGAACTACTTACATTTCAGTGTAAATCATGCCAGCCAGGGACATATTGAGGACAGCCCAGGCGAGGACCACCTGTCGAGCCTGCTCCTCCCTCCTCATCCTCAGCGCCCGGTCGATCATACTGGGCATCCCCTCCTTCGGTGGGGTCAACATGATGTTATCACACTGGTCAGGCTGAAAGAAAGAGCAGAGAGAAACACTCTGAGACAAAAAAAAAAAAACAAGCATGAAATGTGCCAAGACCAAGTCGAGCTTTAAAACAGACAGATTAAGCGAGTATACTTAAACTTGACATGAAAGTTAGCACGACAGCTGTGCTCAACTTACGGCTAACACAAGTGTAGCTCAGTTAGCCCTGCTAGCTAAACGGCTAGCTAAAGTTAGCTGTAGCTTTTACCACAAACAGAGAGGAACGTGCAGCGAAAGTTTAGTTTCTGGTTGGATTTCCGTCCACAATGTAAACAAGCCACAACGCTGAGGGGTTATTCAGAGGGCGATATAACCAAAATATTATACAAAGCGTAGGAAATGTAGAAAATTCATACCACGCTGAAGTGAATGACAACCGCGGCGCTGCATAATTTGTATTTTAACCGGCAGTTGCAAAGTGCACTACCGGGTCATCACACCGGCCTCATTTAAATATGACACTTTGGAAAATTAAAAAAAGTTTTTTTTGGTTGTTGTTTTGTTTTTTTAATTTCTGTTTTGCACCTAAAATTTTCTTATGTGGAATCTCACACAAACAGCGACAATTGTAGTAATATGTGCAAGGAAAAAAAATAATTAAAAAAAAATGTCACATTAGTTTTGAGACTAATTTCTATCAATGCATTAATCTCTTTGGAAATATTAGATATTCACGTGACTAATGTTTTTATTCAAGTTTTTTCTACCTGTTCTAAGTGAAGTAGAAACGCTGCAACAAAATAGTAATCAATGACAAACAAAACCAGTGATCAGTGAAACAAATTGAGCAAATCTATCATTTTGAATCTGCCTAATTGCATTAACATGGTTATAAAACTGAATGACTGAAAGTCAGTGGACACACAGCTGCAGCAGTAATCCAGAAATATAGAACAAGCCACAGCACCACTAATCAGAGCCACAGTGGCTGGATCCTGAAACTGACGCCACCACTTTTACAATCTGGCTCCAAACAACAGATGGTTATAGAAGTATTTCCCACTTGGTACAGGGGTTATCAGTGGAAATGAAAGTGTCTGTGACTGCTCAGAGCATTGCATACTATCAACCTCTATGGACGGCATCAAAGAAAATAAAAAACGCTGCTTGCCATCCATCGCAAAACTGCAAGATTGACTTTGTTATGAAAAGAAGCCTGATGGATACTGGAATATTGGGAACACTTTCTTTTGTCAGATGAGACCAAGATAAATTTGTTCACCTCAGATGTGGTCGAGCAGGTTTGGTATGAACGTAGTCAGGACTACCACAGCGAATGCACAGTCCTGACCGTGAAGCATGAAGGTGACATTTGTAGATGCATCATGGATGTCTGGAGATGTACCAAAAATACTAGATAACAAGATGACTTCCAAATCTGCAGAAACTTGGAAGACGAGAAATATTTCCATCCATCCATTATCTATACACCGCTTAATCCTCACTGGGGTCGCAGGGGGCTGAAGCCTATCCCAGCTGACTCAGGGTGAAGGCAGGGGACACTCACATTCACTCCTACAGACAGAATCACCAATTAACCTCAACATGTTTTCGGACCTTGTGGGAGGAAGCCGGAGAACCCGGAGGGAACCCACACTGCACGGGGAGAACATGCAAACTCCACGCAGAAAGATCCCAGTGCCCCCACCGGGACGCGAACCGGCGACCTTCTCGGCAACAGTGTTCGAGAAACAGTTAAGCAAGTAAATGATCCAAAACACACTGCCAAAATCACGCAAGAGTTTCTAAATAGGAAAAAGTAAAAACTAAGACCTGTCTAAGTAAGTCGCCTGATTTAAATCCAACACCTCTGAGATACTTTAAAGAGAAAAGCTGAGCAACACAAAACCTCCAGCAAAGAGCAGTTGAAATAAAATGGTCTTTGATGAATGGCAGAACATCTCTCCAGAAAATGAACATCCTCCATGTTAAAGAGGCTTGAGTTTGTCATCAAAATTAGAAGTGGACAAATGAAATACTACAAAGGTCTGCTGAGTTTTGTTGGATGAAGTTCCGACTGTGGGGCTGCTATTTTTCATATATTAAATCTAAACTGTATGACGCTCATTTCTGTTCCGTTATATCCACTATGATCACCAGTCTGCATGCTTTACATAATGAAAACAACACAGACATTTAAAAAAAAAAAAAAAAGTACCAATAAACAACATAACAGCTGTAAATATCCATTTATTAAAATGTGCAACGGATAAGATGGAGCTATAACATGATTGTAACATTCAGTCAACACTCACACCAGGTGGGATATTGTCACATTAATGCCCAGATACTTGATTTCAAAAGGCTCGCTTCCATTCACACACACACGACAGAATTAAATAAAGGGAAGAGAATACAAAATTAATAAATAAAGAAAAATAGCACAACCCATTTAGCAACTACATATAATCAAGAATAATATAAAAAAAATGCAGGAATATACAAGAATATCAGAATTTTAGAACTGACATTCTTCTGCAATTACTAATCTGTATCAGTTGTGTTATTGAGTGAACTGAGGAATTAGGATTAAAGAAAAACAACCAGTAAATGAGAGCTTATGTGAACCCACTAAAACCGTTAATATCACAGAGGCCTGAGTTAATGAAGAGAAAATAACTTGAAAGAAGTATGTTCAAATCTTTATCAGCTGGCTTCTAATGTGACAAAGATTACACTGGTCTACACCCATTTTGGTGTCAAAGTTTTTTGAGCTGATTTTGGACAACTGCAGTGTGCCGAATCCAAATATTACATTGGTTTTGCTCAATGAGGTCAAAAGTTTGATTTGTCGCCACATGCACTTTTGTTTTTTACATTTTGTGTACATGTGCGGGTATCTATGCTTTGTATCGTACAATATTCTTTTTCTATTTCCTGAAATGAACAAATTCTGAAACCTTTTCAAGTTGATACTGTAAATATTTGTAGGTGAATTAAATGTAGATAAAAAGTTTACCCCCTGGTTTATGAACAACACATTAGAGTCACGTGATTTTATCAGAAAGAGATGGAGACCAGGCATCAGGGACGCTGGGATGCAGTCGTGATGGCTGATTACTGCTGGACTCTGAAGAGAGATAAACCTGCTGCTGATCATTCCAGGAGCTCCAAGAAGTGCAAGTTCAAGCCCTGAATTTTGAGCAATGCTGATGAAAAATGCAATGTACTTGTATTTAGCTTTATAAATGTTTACGCTCATCAACTTGTGGATCATTTAGCTTATGAAAAGGATTAGAAAATGAAATTTTTCCTCTAAAATCCGATTTCATATGAGAAATACTAAAATAAATCAATCGCTAATGTCAAAAAATTTGATCAACTTAGTGGCAAAATCGATTTTTTCAAAATCGAGTTGGCATAAAAACGTGACCTGACACAGAAAAGCAGATGTCATTTTTGGATTCAGCGTTGCAAAAATGTCCTAAATCAGTTAAATCAGTCAGACACCTTCAACAAAATACTTTTTGTAACCCAGTGTTATTTTAGCAGCAGCGATATGCTTGTGAGAGGCTAAACACGTTTTTAACATTTTTATAATGCAAAATGTGGCAGTTAAATTGTATTAATTTTGACAAATGTCAGTTATATTTTAACAAAGTAACTAGTATTTGGCAAAAAAAAAAAAAAGAGAGGTAAACATTGGTACTGTAGTAAATAAATAAAACATCTCAAGAGGCACAGTGTTGTCAATGAGGGGGTGACAGGGACTTCTCAGAGTTATATCCTCCAACATCCAAACCACAGTCCTCGCTATTTGCTGAGTCAACGAGCCTCTCTCCTCCTCTTCTGCCGTCGTCATCCTCCTCATCGTCTTCCTCCTCGTCGACGTCCTGCTCCTTACGGGACACTCTTTCCATCTTGGGCCCTTTGCAGATCTTCAGGTGACGCGTGAGGTGGTATTTGGTGAGGAACGCTTTGTGGCACTTCTCGCAGACAAAGTCTCTTCGGCCCTCGTGAGAGTTCATGTGCTTCTTCAGGTGGTTGGTCTTGAGGAAGTGTTTGTTGCACTTGGGGCACTGAATCCGGCGTTCGCTGTGGTGAGAAAAAAACAGGGGAATGACTAATAAATAGGGAGAAAATACTGCAACAAAACCAACAGTCCATCAGTTTGTTCGGTTTTACAATAAGTAATCTGTACATACTGCGTGTGAGAGAACATGTGCTGTTTCAGGTCATGTTTCCTGATGAAGGTTCGGTCGCAAAGGTCGCACTTGAGCTTCTCTGCACCGGTGTGGATGAGCATGTGTGACGCCACGTGGGATTTCTGGGTGAACGATTTCTCGCAAACGGTGCATCTGTAGTTCTTCTGACCTGTAAGTGGGAAAAGTCAAGTAAACAGTAAAGTTAAAAAGCTGATTTTAGGTACAGTTAAACGATATCTATTCGTTAAACGTTACTTTTCACACTCTGCAAGTACCTGTGTGAATCTTGAGGTGCATCCTGAGGTTGCTGGGATCGCTGAAGGCCTTGCTGCAGTATTCACACTTGTGTGGTTTCATTCCTACGTGCCCCATGAAGTGCACATTGAGCTTAGTGGAAGTTATGAAAGCCCGGGAACACATGCTGCACTTGAATTTCTTCTCCCGCACATGACCCTGGCCTTTTGCTCTGGGGTTGTTAGAGTTTCTACTACTGCTGCCCCCGCTGCTGTTGTCGCTGTTTGTTTGCCCCGTGGGGTGGTTGTGGCAGGGCCACGGGGAAGAGGACGAGCTTGAGGTTCCGTTGGTCAGCTTCTCTTCCTGGTGAGTGTGTTGCTGTGGCTGCTGCTCTTGTTGCTGCTGCTGCTGCTGCTGTGGAGGTGGTGGTTGTTGCTGCGAGTGGTCCTGCTGCGACGGGCTGTGGCTGTGTGGAGGCTGGTTATGGCTGTGGTTACCGTTATGGTTGCTAAGATGAGACTTGAGCTCAGAGAAGGAGGAGCACTCTTTGCCACATTGGCAGATTTCACCCTCAGGCACCTGAGGAACACCTTCAGAGGTAAAAAGACGGCAGGATAGTCATCAACAATCCACCCAAAATTCACTCTCAGGTTTGAAAGGCAAACAGATATCCAAGCCAGAAACGGTAAAAACTGAAAGAAAACTGAAAATTATCCAAAAGCCACCAAGTTATTAAATTTAACGATCAAAATTTTAAATTTAAAAACTTGACAAAAAATAATAATTTGCAGCCACATTCTGTAAAAAGCAAAAAGAATTCTGTGCTCCTCAGTGCAGACATGAAGCCAATAACAACTCACCTGTGACCAACAGTCACAAGACAAAAATTCACTGCTCTTCGGCTGAACTGCAGATTGTGTGGCATTCTAACTTATTATACAACTTATTATAATATTTCTACTTCCTACATGTAGTGATGTTTGAGCTCTCTCTATCTTGTCAAGAAAGTGTTAAAAAGTGTTGTGAAATTAACTCGTGTTAATGCTGATAATGCTTGTTGACACAAGTGCAACAAGTCCTTGGCATTTAAGTTAACAAACAATAAATTTGTGGAAATTGTGGGACTTATTGATTTGGGGGCTTTTCTTTAGCAACTGTAAACATTTGTATTGGCATTTGTAGAAGAAATATTCAAAACTTTTGTCACATTAAAATATATATATCACACAACATAAATGCTGTCAAAGAAAAAGTCCTGCATTTATTTATGCTTTCAACTCTAAAGTAAAGAATGACAAAAAGGAAATTAAAAACAAAACATAAAATAGAGCAATGCTAATCCTGTTTGTAATTAGTGTTGTTTTTTTTTTTTTTGTTTCTTAATGAGTATACAACACTCATCCCTGTTCCGTCCTCTCACCCATCAGCCTGCAGTAGTCTCTGCTGTAGTAGAAGAGCAGCTCCTGGTCCGGGTGGATCTCTGTGGTTGTACAGAAGAACAGTTTACCATTGGCAGGATACGCCACCAGATTCTGCTCTTCGCGGGTCCTAAATGCACAAACACACATCCAAATTATAACAGAATACTGCTTTTTATGCCAACTCTCTTTTTTCATTTGTTGTGCAGTTTACGAACAATGCATACTCTTGAACGTTTTTTTAAATATACACAGAATAAATGATCATTAGCATATCTTGGCGTCGTACCTCGCCTTGCGGACAAACATCATCCAGTTGCATTCGTTCTCATCTGTCGTCACAATGTAGAACTCCAGCACATTGTTGTGGTACATCTGTGGCAGGAGAAATCACTTATTGTCAATTATTATATTAAGCAGGGTTTTGCGCTGCCTGAGACAACCTCAGTTCAACACAAACCACAGCACGGACCTTCCATATTTGAGGTGTGTCCTTTTCTAGCCAATCAGAGAGATCCACGCTGCTACAATGCTGGCCAACTATTGGTCCAAAGCAGGTCCTCGGAGGAATGACGTCCCGTGCAAAGACTCCTATAAGGAGGAACAAACACAAATATTCATAGTAATGCAACAATGCAAACTTGAAGGTAAACATCAACACTGTGTGTGTGCTTTTATGATTCCATTTACCAGTTAAATAACATTTGGGCTCACCAAAACTGACTAAAAAATTTGCCTTATAATCTGCCATTTAAGTTATCTGCTAAATATAACTGCTGTGTCAGTCCACAGAACACGTCTGTCTAAATATTAGTCCCAAAAAGACACTGTTTAGGAGTGTTAGCAATCTCACCAAGAGGTTCGTCAGCCACTGAGATGCGCAGGCACAGTGGACGTGGAAGAGAGAGGCGAGCTCGGCTCTGGATGGGAGCATCAGGGATGAAGGTGACCGGGCCGTGTTCCGGACAGTCTGAGGTATATGAGCGTTCACATAGTGTGCACCCTGCAACAAAACCAGCAGAACAAAGTTAGTGCAGGCTAGAGCTGTCTGAGAAACTTACATTAACTGCACATAAACAATGTGAAGAGCTTTTTTGTTGCACATCTTCATATAATCAACAATGAAAATCCTAAAACGTGGCTGCATGACAAAAGCTGACATTAGGACTGAACCAAATATCGCTTCAGTCAACACTGTGATGTGCACGCAATTCACCCTAATTTAGAGGTTCTTGGACACATTTAAGTTTGTCTTTTTGTTTTGTTTTATTTACAAGATTATGGAATTCGCTGCCATCATGCAGTCTCCACATGACTGAGCAGTTACATCAGCACTACAAAGCTCTGTTTGATGAGTGTGGAGTCAGATCTGAATACCGCCAAAAGCAAAAACATAATTTTGGATGTTTTTACCAGTGTTACACCACATGACAAAA